CTGCAAAGACTCTCCACTTCCTGGCTGGATACCAGTTCAGCTCCTTTCCAGAACTTCAAGAAGAAAGACAATGATGAAACACGATGACAGTTGCAGCAGTGGAACTGGGGCATAGTCTGCCTCACCTCAACAAGTTTCAGCTTGGAGCTGATTCTCCAAATTCCAATTTATGCAAAGCCCTAAGATTTCAGTGTTTGTATTGCAATGAAGAGAAAAAGCTCAAAGTCTGCCGAGACTCAGATGAATTATTTTTGATTAATGCGCAAAGAATCTTGTTTAGCTGAGGTAGCTCACCTATAGAGTTCAATGAAACAAAGACATAAAAGGAGAATAATGTTTTGCATCTTTATAAGCAATTTTAACTGTTCTCATTTTCAGCTATCTGTTAGTAGTGCCACAGAATGAACACCACCAAAAGTAAGACGTTTAATAATCAGTAACAGCAAAGGCAGATGAAGAAATCGTCAGAATAAAATTACACATAAGCATAAATAAATTGTTTTTATTATTTAGACTTCTTTGTGGGCTTCTTTTGTTGGACTAAATGCTCTAACCCACTTTTAGGTCTTCAAGTAGTCACTTCTGGTTGCTATGCAGAAAGAAAAGATAATTCAGTCTTTGTCTGGACTAGAAACAACCAGTTGTAATGGATCTTTGGCTTCATGTAAGCAGGTGTGGCATTTTTTGTTTGCTTGTGGTTTTTTTACAGTGCATAAATATGACTGAAATTAGAATGATGAAGTTTGTATTCAGAATACCTGTAACTCTGTATTGATGCATAAGCTATACTGTCCCACCAAAAATATAGCAAAAAAATCACTCCAAATGTTTTCCTCTTTTTATAAAGTTAGCATTCATGAGATAGTGTCATATGTTTTGGATTATGTTTCTTCATCTGCCATGAATCGTAGTCAGTAGATCCCACTTAAGTAATTAATTTTCTATGGTTCTATGCATTTATGTGTATTCGGTTCATTTTCTGACACAAGAATGTTCTCTCCAAACCAGAACAAAATCTATATACAAAAGTAAAAAGGTACCTCTATAAAAATATAACAGGCTATATAAGTTGTCCCTTCTTCTTTTCTTACTGAAAAGCAGATCTACTCTATAAATTTGGCAATGGAAGAACTAGTACATGAGCAAAAAAAGTACACTGTTGCTGTGTAACGCCATTAAAGTTGATGCAGTTATAGTCAATGCATATCACATTTGCGCTTTTTTAATTATACGTTTATAAAGTAGATTTTTTTTGATTTTTCATTTTTAAACTATGATACTTTGTTTAAATGGCCTCGTTGAGAAAAAATTCTACTGCATTATGGTTGAAATGACACAAACAATGAATTTAATTTCTGCTTTCCACTTCAATGTGTCCTGATGGACTTCGGTCATATAGACTGGATTGAGAAATGAAAGACAGACTTCCAAGCCATTTTGTGATTTATTTTAGCCATAGTAGCATCTGAAACTGCTCAGATCGTTTCCAAGATTGCCTCTTAAATTGGTTTTCAATTTTCTTGTGTAGCTGAGTACACCTGTGCACAGAGAAATATGATTCTTATATTTTCCTTTTCTGAAAACTGAAACAACGCCCTGTTGAAAATGTTTTGGGTTTTTTTTTTTTTTTTTCAGCTGTTATTATTCATCAGAAATTACTTAGCAATACCTGGTGTAAGAAGGGGGAAGAAGAGCTTGTACATAAATATAACATTGCATCCTGCCTGTACTATGTTAATGTAGCTGCGGCAAATGACTTGGACAGATAAAAAAAAATATCTAGCCACAGGTGCCTAACAACCTATTTGCGTTCAAGAGATGTGTGTCTGTCTGACCTTTATTAAGGATGAAATAAAAGTTCTGTTCACATCCACAGGTGGATATGATGTGCTTCTGGAAAGGAATGAAAACTACTGAATTAAAGAATAAGGTCAGGAATGGCTTGAGGGTTTGCTTATCCAAGTATGACTTAGCAAATGTAGCCTGACTGACCACAAAGAGGGGCCTGCAACCCCTGCAGAGCTACGATAAGTAACAAGACAGGAAGGCTGGCATATAGGCAACAATCATGAGGCCAGCACAATGTTATCTTATCTCTGACAAATGGAGAATTCCAAGAAGGAGGTAGCGTATGGTAATGAATTACTGGGAACTAATGAATATATTAAAACTCCTTACATGAATATGTATGTATGTATGCATATATGTTGTCAAACTGACTCCGTTTGGTACGCACATTTGGAGGAGCGATCCCCTGTGCGTCCAGCGCTGCAATAAAGAATACCTGCTTAATAGTCACCCCGGCTATTGAGTCCTGATTTCGTCTTTCACGGCATCAATTCTGGCACCCCAGATGGGACTCTCTCTGCTCGGCTGCAGGACCCGCTGAGAACAGGACTCCCTAGGGTACCCCCGGGACCTTCCCGGAGGGACTCCTCGCCTCATACGGATCACTGCGGGAGCAGACAAGGGCCATCTAGAAAATAAGGTATTCTTTTAAAAATTAAAAAAAAAAAAAAGACAAAAAAGAAATGGTTTTGGTATTTGGGACCGGTCATTTGGGGTTCCCATAAGTCGTAGGAGACGTCCTACGCAGGGCGCTGTATGCCAGGCTACTAGTGCCTGAGGGCATACTGTGTACGTGAGTTCTGCTGCGCAACTCAGGTTGTGCTGCGCTCTCTTGTGTTACGTACACTTGGTTTGGGTTGTGTACGCGGGTATAGGCACATGCTGTGTTTTGTACTCTTGTATTTCGTACACTTGGTCTTGGTTTGTATAGGCACATGCTGTGCTTTGTACACTTGGTTTGGTTTGTGTATGCGGGTATGAACACATGCTGTGTTTTGTGCTCTTGTATTTCATACACTTGGTTTTAGTACGTTGGGTACATTCGTGAGTAAGTCGCGAGCTAGGTACCTTTGCATTAACGTACATTGTGGTGGTAGTAACTTATCGGTATTGAAATTGGAACTGTTTAAAGGAATTGTTTATTGAAAGCTGATTTGGATTTGATAAAAGGTGTGTGAATGAATTGAGCTAGCTCCTGTATGTATGATTTGAGTGACTGAGACGCGGCACAGCTGCGAAGCGAGTGCGGAGTTCTGATCCGCGGTTCCGTTATCCCGCGAGGGGTGCGGCCGGAGACGAACGAAGTGAGTGTATTTTGTTTGTCAGATAAATGTGACCGGTCATGTAAATGAATATTGTTCCCTCCATAACGGGTGTAAAGCAAGCAATAAGAGTTGAATGTTAAAATTGTTTTAAGATATTTTATGCTCATTGGTTTGGGTCTAATCCAGATTGTACTGATTTTGAGTGCCCTAATTGTCAGCTGTGGATGTAATGGGGGAACATTAGGGAGATAATTTTATCCTCTAACTGTACTGTGTGGGGAGTTAAATTAATAAAGATGGGAGGACAGCAAAGTGGCGAAATTGTGAAACAGAGTCCTATAGGATGTATTTTAAAACATTGGAAAAATATAGGGGGACCATCAGGTGGGAATGTGAATAAGAAAACTTTGATAAAATATTGTAATCAATGGTGGCCCTTATATAAATTAGATGATGGAGAAAAGTGGCCCTTTAATGGGACTCTGAACTATAATACTATGTTGCAGTTGATGCTGTTCTTACGGAGAGAAGGAAAATGGGATGAGGTTATGTATGCGGATATGTTTTTCACTTTGCGAAACCATCCTGAATGGCAAAAGGACTGTGGATTTAATATACCACCGCAAGATCCTCTAGTTTTGTCCCTCGAGAAAGAACAAAAAGATAAAAGGAAGGGGCAGCAGAAAATGAAGAGGTGTTGCTCAGCATGTAGTATTGGGCAAAGGTGTTTAAAAATAACAGAATCCAGGGAGAGTAAAGAGGAAGCAGAGGATCAGCTTGAGGATTTGGGAATGCCCCCCCCTCCATTGCCAAATCCGCTTTCTCCACCCCAGTCGCCATTCTCTGACACAGAGGGTGGCGGCAGCGGTGAGGAAGAAGGGGAAGCGGCAACTGCTTTTACTCCAGTTACTGCAAGAACCAGGAGTAAAACCCAGAGAGCTCCGCAACTCCTAGCCCCGTTACGGGAAGTCATGGGATCTAGCGGGCCAGCTAGAGTGAAAATTCCGTTTTCCACCACTGATTTAAATGACTGGAAAGAGGTAGCTAGAGGGTATCGAGATGATCCCTCTAAGGTGGCAAAACGATTTGAATTGATAGTTAGAAATCAAGATCCGGATTGGAGAGATGTAGATTTAATATTGGGGGAGATGACTGAGACAGAAAAACAGTTGGTATTAAAGACTGCCCGAACCCATGTGCAGGCTCAAATTACAGGGAGAGTCCTGCAAGGGAGTGTGGATGAGCACGTCCCACTGTCTGATCCGAACTGGGATCCCAATGATGGACAAGATTATGCAATGTTAAGACGATATCGAGATTGGATCAAACTAGGGCTGGAAAATGCCATTCCAAAAGCTATAAATTGGTCAGCATTATATGCTGTCAAACAAGGACAGAGGGACACCCCTACGGAGTTTTTGGACAAACTGAGAGAGGCAATGAGAAAATATACTACTTTAGATCCCTCCTCAGATATAGGGGAACAACAGCTTGTTTCCTTATTTTTAGGACAATCATCCCCAGATATTAGAAAGAAGCTCCAGAAATTAAAAGAACCAGATATAAGGAATCTGGAGAAATTACTTGAAGAAGCCTGGAGAGTTTTTAGGAATCGAGAAGATGTAGATAGGGGAAAGCTGACAAAGGTGATGGCCACGGCCACTGTGGCAGCATTGGAACAGAAGGGAGTAGTGAATGGTGGGGGATTTAGAGGACGTGGAAGAGGGATGCCTTTTGGAACTAGAGGAGGACTAAGGAATTTGGCAAGAGGTAGAGGTGTTAATGTTGGAAATGTATTGGAGAGGGATCAATGTGCATATTGCAAGAAAAAGGGTCACTGGAAAAATGAATGCCCTGAGCTTAAAGGTATCCCACCTGCCTTGATAGCCGGAGCAGAGACCGATTGACAGAGACCTGGGGCATCTACCCTAGCGGATCCACTGGTCAAAATAAAGCTAGGGGAACAAGAGAAAGAAGTTGAATTTTTAATAGATACAGGTGCCTCTTTCTCTGTTTTAAATCAAGAGTTAATGCCTGTAAGCAAGGATTTTGTAAATGTGATAGGAGCCACTGGCCAGCAGAAAAAGGCGTTCTTTTCGGAACCCCTTAGATATAAATTAGGAAAACAGATCGGAATACATCGATTTTTATACTTGCCACATTCCCCCAAATCACTGTTAGGGCGAGACTTATTAGAGCAATTAGGAGCAGTGATAGTTTTCAATCAAGGAGCTATGGAATTAAAAGTGAAAGAAGATCAGTTGATTGAAATTTTAAGCCTAGCCCTAATACACTCTGAAAAGCCTACTGTGTCATCACCCGAACTTGAAGAAATCATTAATCAGGTATGTCCAGAGGTTTGGGCTACAGGGACTCCAGGAAGGGCGAAAAACGCTACCCCCATAGTAATAGAACTTAAGGAGGGAGCAAGCCCAGTACGTCAAAAACAATACCCCCTGAGATTAGAAGATCGCAGAGGAATAGAAGGTCCAATTAAGAACTTTTTACAACATGGACTACTAGTGGAATGTGAATCAGAATATAACACCCCCATACTGCCGGTGAGAAAACCAAATGGAACTTATCGGATAGTACAGGACCTAAGAGAAATAAACAAAATTGTTAAAGATTTACACCCTGTAGTTGCCAATCCTTATACCTTACTTACCAAATTGAAAAACAGTCAGGTATGGTTTACAGTATTAGACCTAAAAGATGCATTCTTTTGTCTGCCTTTGGCTAAAGAAAGTCAGAAGTTGTTTGCTTTCGAATGGGAAAGCCCTACTACTGGTAGGAAAACCCAGCTTACTTGGACAGTGTTACCCCAAGGTTTCAAAAACAGTCCAACACTTTTCGGAAATCAATTAGCACGTGAGCTCGAGGCATGGAAGCCTCCTTCCAAAAATGGAACCCTTTTACAATACGTGGATGACCTATTAATAGCAACTGAAACAAAACCTGAGTGTATCCAATGGACTGCGAGCTTGTTGAACTTTCTTGGACTAAATGGATATCGAGTCTCTCAACAGAAAATTCAAATGGTACAACAGCAAGTGACCTACCTGGGATATGAATTATCTGGAGGACAACGGGAGTTGGGAACTGGACGAAAGGAAGCCATCTGTAAAACCCCACTGCAGTACGGTTACCAGCTAGCGTCGCCATCATGCATTGTCGAGGACATCTGAGGGGTAACACTGACCAAGAAAGAGGTAACAGATTGGCTGATTATGAGGCTAAACAGGCAGCAGAAAGAATGCAGAGAGAACAAACTCTAGCTTTAATTCCAGACAATAGAAATAAAGACCTGGATGACCAGGAGGACATTAAATATTCTAGATTAGATGAGGAGTTCATACAAGAATTAGGAGGACAAGTTCCTTCCCAGGGATGGGCTCATTTGAGTGATGGTAGAATAATTATACCTACCAAACTAGTGTGGGGGCTTGTTAAAGAAGAACATGATAAGACACATTGGGGAGCAGATTCGTTATATAAATTTTTAGGCCAAAGATGGATAGGGAAGAATTTATATACCACTGTTCGACAGGTGACTCAGCAGTGTGAAACATGTTTGAGAAATAACCCCAACACAAGTAATCGGGTACAGTTAGGAACCATTGGGAAAGGAAACGTACCAGGAGACCATTGGCAAATCGATTTTTCCGAACTCCCAAGAAAAGGGGGGTATAAGTACTTATTGGTGCTTACAGACACCTTTTCTGGATGGCCAGAGGCTTTTCCCTGTAGAACAAACCAGGCAAGAGAAGTGACTAAAGTGTTATTGAACGAGATAATACCTCGATTTGGAGTGCCTATAGTCATCTCATCAGATAGAGGTACTCACTTCTGTGCACAAATAGTGCAACAAGTTAGCAAACTATTGGGAATTGATTGGCAGTTACACACCCCATATAGGCCGCAGGCCAGTGGGCAAGTAGAAAAAATGAATCACATGATAAAACAGCAGATAGCCAAAATATGTCAAGAAGCAGATTTGTATTGGTATCAAGCATTACCCATAGCTCTGCTTAGATTACGAGTAAAGCCAAGAGCTAAAGAGAACCTAAGCCCTTTTGAAATATTATATGGGAGACCATACCAGACAAAATATAAAGGGGAAGATTTAAGTCAGTTGGGTAATTCCTATTTACAAAATTATGTTATTTCTTTGGGAAAACAATTAAAGAAAATCAATAAGACTGTCCTAGGAAACAGAGTTAAGGGATTGGATCATCCTATCCATCCCTTTACTCCTGGAAGTTGGGTTTATATCAAGAATTTCTCAGGTAATCCACTGGAAGGGAAGTGGAACGGACCATTCCAAGTGCTACTGACCACCTTCACTGCAATCAAAGTGAAAGAACAGCTGTCCTGGATTCACTATTCTCGCATGAAAAGAAAAAAGCTCCAGACAAGCAATGGACTTCTGAAACCTTTAGGACCCTTAAAACTAAGATTACAAAAGACGGCTTCGAGTCTTAAGGAAGATCCCGACTTGAGCAGAGATGGACCTCCGAATGTACTGGATCAGCAAAACTGCGATTCCGGAAATCATTATTATGATCTTCTACATCACAGCTGGATGGACAGAGAACTGCACCACCCATCAAGATCTAGATGATGTCCCTGACCCTGAAGATTGGACCAGGAATGGATATTTGGGCAATGCAGGTCTGAATATCACATATAAGAAGACTAAGGTATACACAGTTTTAAAGATTGATGGTCAGATTAGAAGAGATTGGGGAAATTCACGACAAATACCGTCTTTTGAAATAAGAGAGAACAGCTTGGTTGATATAGCATGTAAATTTGATATGGCACAAGTGTATTTAACCACTGTAATGATGGTTGGCATTTATGTATACAATTTAGAAGAGCCACAACAATGTATATTCTCGGCAGTATGTACACTTCACCAAGAATACTGTCAAGTAGAGGTTCAACCTAAAGTTAGTTCAATGATTAGGTGCATAGGAGTTATACATGATGCAAGGAAAATGATAAGATCATACCGACAAGTAGCCTTGATTTTAGTCCCAAAGGATATAACCACCACACATGGTATGGATAAAGCCCAAACGATTAAATCGATTACTCTCTCTCCCCAACTTATCCCCTTTCCAAAAGTGAAACGTTCAAATACTATTCTCAATTATAATGCACCAATAATATATAAGAAATATGTAATATATGGGGAAAATATAGCATGCAAAAAAGAGATAAAAACTTTCACTCAACCATTTACCTTTAGGAGTATGGTTACTTGTAACGCATCTGAAAAGGCTGAAAACATCACTATAAATATAAAATACAATAGCACTGAAAAGGGGAAATTTATCATATGGGAAGTACCAACAGGTACTCGGAAGGCTACATGTCAGCAACCTCAATGTAGCTTTACTATAGTAAATAAAGGAGAAGCAGTTTATAAGATAGGTGCATTATTTAGTCTAGAAAGCCGTTCAGCAACATTCTTATTCCCCTTTGCGCTCCATGTGCCTCGGAGAAATATAATTACTCCAAGTCCAACCACCATCCCTCTGTTTGAACCAGCTAACTGTGCTGTGAAATACCATAACCTTTCGTTCGCAGGCCCTTATGTAGTGAGACAATCCAATGAGCAAAAATTATTTCTGGACCCCACATATTCTTTAAAGAAGGTACGGGTAAAGGTACAAGCTGATATATCTCAGATAAAATCAGAATGCTTACCTTTTGTTTCACAAAGTCTTAAAGGGTGGAAGGCATGGTTACATTCCAGAGCTCACCACTCAAGGAAACAGAGAGATTTAACAGGATGGTTTGGATCTGGACTCGGAGTTTTAAACTCGATTGATCAGGAAGTAATAATTAATAAACTGAGCACAGTCACCTCTGATTTAGGAAGACTAGAGGTACCATTAAGATCATCTTTAATCACTCTGGCTGGAGCTCAACAATTGACTGTTGATTTCATTTCCCTATTATCTAACCATACTACTGAGGATTTCCAAGCAGTAGCAACTTTTGTACAAGGACTACAAGGAAATGTCTCTATTGCCATTCAGTGTATACAAACACAACTTTGGATACAATCTGTGGTTTCTGATATAATCAGAGAAGGGATGTCAGGAAACCTACCACAGGAAATTAGAGAAATTATCGCTAAGAACGATACTACCACCCCATTCGAATTAAAACATCAGGCTTGGTGGCAATTAGTTAATTTCACTTATGATGACACAAAAGAACAAATTGAAGCCTATGTGCTGACAATTCAAAAGGCAAAAGTGTGGGACATTTTCCCTATTTTAGCACTAGGGGCAATCCATCAAGATGTAGTAGTAAGACCGATAAACCATAATGTTTGGGCAAGATATAAAAATGATATAAGGAAATGGCAGACCATTAGTACTGAAGCTTGCATGCAAAAGGAACAACTAGGATATATTTGTGAGAATGCAGTCATTGAAAATGAAGATTTGTGCTTAGACACAGAAGACAGTACGTGCACATTCGAGATGCTTCCCTCAGAACATGCTCAATCACAGGTGTATTATGTAGGGAAAGGATGCGTCTGTATAAGAACTAGTTGTGTTAATGTTAGCATTGATACTTGTGAAGAAGAAACAAATGGAACTAACTTTTGTGTTTGTAATTTTACCAAGATACAAGGTTGTGATTTTAATTATTCTGTTCCTATAACCACTTCTCAGTTGATCTCTGACAATTTCATGCTATACAATGATGTACCTAAACTACAGATTGGAATGGACATTAATGTCCTTAAGAAAATGCTTTCCCACCCAGACATTAAAATGTTGCTAAAGAAGGTGAAGGAAGTTTCGAAACGAACATTATGGCAAGTCCAGCACAATACTCTGGAAATAAAGAAAATCATCACAGCCATCAAGAAAACTGGTGAACACCATTGGTGGGACATTTTTCTAAATACCTCACTAAAATCTCCAACTGCTGCTCAGTTTTTCAACTTCTTATTGCATCCTGTACTAGTGTTGATTTTTGTAGTCCTACTGCTGACACTTCTCAACATTTGGTTGTGGTGGAAAGTACGGACTGTTGCTCAACAAGTACATGTATTATGGGCTGTAAACAAAATTATGCAAAAGAATTTGCAATAGCATAAAGAAAAGGGGGGATTGAATTAAAGAATAAGGCCAGGAATGGCTTGAGGGTTTGCTTATCCAAGTATGACTTAGCAAATGTAGCCTGACTGACCACAAAGAGGGGCCTGCAACCCCTGCAGAGCTACGATAAGTAACAAGACAGGAAGGCTGGCATATAGGCAACAATCATGAGGCCAGCACAATGTTATCTTATCTCTGACAAATGGAGAATTCCAAGAAGGAGGTAGCGTATGGTAATGAATTACTGGGAACTAATGAATATATTAAAACTCCTTACATGAATATGTATGTATGTATGCATATATGTTGTCAAACTGACTCCGTTTGGTACGCACATTTGGAGGAGCGATCCCCTGTGCGTCCAGCGCTGCAATAAAGAATACCTGCTTAATACTCACCCCGGCTATTGAGTCCTGATTTCGTCTTTCACGGCATCACTACCCAAACAAGGTTTGCAGACTTCTTCCTGTTCTTCCCCCACTGCTCCACCAGGAACGAGTGTTTTGAGAAGAAGGGCTGTGTCTGGGATTCATTTTTTAGGCATTTCCTCACTGGCAAGGATCGTGTTCTTGGAGAGTATCTAAATACCACTGCCTTACCTCCTGCCCACGTTGCCAGGAAAGCATGTTCTTATAAGCGGGGGTGCCTGGAGCTTCACGATGGAAGACAAAACTGTCACGCCGTATCAGGGTGAATTTTATCTCAACAAATCCCCTCAAGTCCCTCAAAACGCCTCTGATTGCTCTTCATTTCCTCACTCAAGTATCTGCCCATGCCCAAACAGAAATGTTGTTGGGCAATGTCTGTCAGGAAGGGCCTGCTGCAGGTGAAAGCAGCGGTGTGAGTCCCTGGCACTCCAGGACTGGATGCGGCTGAGGGAAGGGTGGTCGAAGGGAACGGAACCCTTTCACCAAACCTCCACCACTAACATAGTAGGAAGCTTATATAAAAATATGGTTCGAAGCCAGAGAGTAGAATTAGAAGTAGCTAAACTAACTCTGGTAGATCTGTACTACGTGGACATCATTAAGTATTGAATACGCCGAAAAAAAGGCTGCCTTTTTTTGCCCTGACGGGACCTGGCGCGGCCAGGAGAAAATGGCGGACAGGCGCCGGCCCCGCCCATATAAAAGAAGCCCCTGGGGAGCAGGGCAGTTCGCTGTAGCCGTGCTGGCGCGGTCAGGAGGCGGTGGTGTCGGCCCTGCGGAAAGCCGTGTCCTCCCTGAGCTCTGCAGCCGCCCAAAGAGACGCAGCCCCGGTGTCAGGCTGTGGGCTGTGCCCCGCTCCTTCACGAGTGCCAGACGCTTGGCGGGCAGGGGCCCAGCAGAGGGACGCCTGTGCTTGGTGACAGAGCCGCGGGAGGAGGTGGCCAGGTTGGGGACTATCAGGGAGCTCTCTCTCGATAGTACTGGAATCACACCCTGCCTGCTCTGACGGGCTTGCTAGGGCCCATGGCATGGAGGATTCTCCTTCTCTCTGCCTGGTTGAACATGGCGACTTAAGGGGATAGAGGGCAATGGCGGCAGGTTCCTGCCATCGCAGCGGGCTTGTCTCCTCAGTGACTGCCCCGCTGTCCCGGGTGGCCTTGCGAAATATGTACGAGGCTCTGCCAGCAGAACCAAACCATGATTAGAAAAACGGTTCATCTAGATTGGAGATGTTGCCAAGGTTAAATTGGCCTATGCCCTGTGTGAAAGCTGCTTCTGTAAAGAAAAAAGGACGGGCCATTTTCATAGGAGACTTGTCTCCTGAGAGGAACAGAAAGCCCAGTATGCAGACCAGACCCACTTCTTAGGGAAGTCTGCTGCCTCCCTGGGGCCTGGGTTAAAGATGAGAAAACTTCCTACCCTGGTAGGCCCTCAGGTTATTAGCCATTATTGATTTTTCATGTAGGCAGCCGTGAAGCTGCAACAACAAGTCTGAAGGCATTCAAGAGAGTCTTCAGGGCCTTGTGATGACTCGTTAAGGGGTCAGAAGCACAAGTAGTGTTTTCTTTTCTCCTTCCAGTTGCGGGGAAGGACGAAGAAACAGGAAGAGTCAGTGGATCAATACCTGGCTGCAAGCCTGGTGTCACCAGCAGAATTTGGCAGAATGAGGAAAAGTATTTTTCTTTTATGATACTATTTTCTCTTCTTTCATTTGCATTGAATGTGTCATGTTTCATGTGCTGTGTGACAAGAAGAACATAATCTTCCTTTCTGCCTCCTGTAGGCCACTAATGATTTTACATACTTTTACCATGTGCCTAGTTTTACAGTTCAATCCCAGCATAGGCAATAATAGCGAGAGTTACGTAGAATTATTAGCTAGCTTGGGGCATACGGGGTCAAATTTACTGCTGATATAACATTATAATAACATTTATGTGCTAGGAATATTAAGCACATAGAAGGATGTTTCAGCAACATAGGTCCTGAAATAATGTAATTATTTTACAGGATCACATAGGAGATGGAGCTATTGTAGTATGTTTTGCAAATTTATACTTTTATTTCCCCAACTATAAGATACTGGAGGAAAGCTAAGGACAAGTCCATGGTAATGAAGGTCCTGACTTTATAGTTGGATGTGGGACATGAGCTGCCAACAATAAACTGAAATGAAAGAAATAACATATGATTAATACTCCAGGAAAGTAGGGGAATGTCTTCTGTTAGGAAGGTATCTCAATGAGCCAGCTGGGGTTGTGTTCAAAAGGAGACCATGAATACAATTTGGCGGAAACTTTTGGATAGAACTCGCTTACACTAGAAGATGGCTGTATGCCATAGAAGAATTAAAGGCAGAAATAATTGTGTTACCTCTAGAATGTTCGACAAATATCTAATAATTTTGTTCTCCTGTGGTGGGATTATGGAGGGAGAATGACTTTGCCCTTCTCTCCTAAAGGGGTGGTCAGTCAAGTCTAGTTAGAACAGAAGGGTCTCAGCAGTCAGAATGGGACATGGCCAGCCTCCACCCATCTCATATTCTATCATTAAGAGTGGCTGGAAGCAGATCTTTAGGGACAAGTACAAAAATTTAGCAGGAATATCTCATTACTTTTCAGGTGCGCTGTCCCAGCCTTCATCATTTGTGTCTTCGGGATTTCCTGGCCACCGGTGATACCCATAAGGGACTCCTGATCCGTGAATTAGGGTAATCACGTGAGTTTATGTATGTCAATTATGAAAATCCACAGTTACTTGCTGTTGGGCTATTAAGCATGTAAAGAAATGCCCATTTTTGCTTGAGGATTTTGTTACGGTTAATTTTTAAGGTCTTGCTTTATTTTGGTGCATCTCAGTTCTAATTCAAACACTTTCTACCCGTTCTGCTCCTGCATGCTGCTCACAGACCATATTTAATATCTTTTCAGGTATTTTTTTTTCTCTTGCTGTATCTCTACAGTTCTGTGTCTCTACTATTCTAGAATAAGATATCTAGAGAAAATTGAGTTGTGGCAGAAAAGCACAGTAGGGAAACTACTTTTGGGAAAAGTGAAGATGGGATTATGGTTTATGTTCTCCAAGAATACTTTTTAGCACTTAAAGAAGTGTGGTGTTTTTCTGAAACTCACCAGATGACAGTTTGATACCATGGCCTCAAAAAACCCTTCTTGCATGTAAAACAAAGCAAAAGAGCTCAGTTCATGTTATGACAGACAGAATCCATGTAGAAATCTCAGGTTAACTTTAGCTTTGAAATAGAACTGAATCTTGCTGTATAATGAGCATATATAACAAGGTTTCAGGAAAATTTTGTTATTAAACTTTATGATATGTCTGATACTTCAATTTTCTATCCATTTTCTGCTCATCAAAATCTTTTTATGTATCTGTAAATGAGTTAGATACCCGACTCAAAGTATTTCCTGGTTTCAGTTCAGGAGAAGAGTGTTTGTGAGTGGTAGCTCCCCAAAAGACTCAGGAGACCGTAGACATCAGCAACATATGCTAGGGGAAAAAAAAAAAAAAAGCAAGACACATTCTCAACTGCCTTTCTAAGGGGTAAAAGCTGAGCAAGGCAAATAGGCAAAAGAAGCTATTTTGGGTGAAGGTCAAGTAGGAGAACTGTAAAGCAAAAGAGAAGGAAGAGCTTCTATGGGCTAGAACTAAGAAGGAGTGGAAAATGTAGGTTTAAAAAACACATTGTAAAATTAATAATGTGTTGAAAAGTGGGAAGAGGACAGTCCAGCCTAGCAGTAGGAAGAAGAATCTCAAGCCTCATTCCCAAGCTCAGATTCATGGATACAGTGAGAAGCAACTTCTTTGCTCCGCTGTGGAATGAGAATTGGGGTGAGATCTGTGAAACCTCACAGAATATCCCTCCATATCATTCCTCAAGCCAGTGCAGGTTGAAGGCCATACGTGGTTTACTTTCAGGGGGCTTTTGGTGCTTTGGGAATAATGAACTTTTCTATGTAACCAGAACTGAAATCCAATCTCCCATGGGAATGTAGGGAGATCTGAGATACCTGGAAACCAGGTATCATCGTTCCACGAGTATGATTTCAAGAGAGCCTGTTTTCATGCATGTTGCTTGCTGTTTATTGACTGATTCAGCTTTGCTGGTATAAAATAGGCCAACTCACAGTTAACCATGCACATAAAAGAAAAACATACTTTTAAAATTGTATTTTAAAAGGTGCAGCACCACCAAAAAACTTCTCCCACGTGTGCAATGCAAAAGGCTTTAAAAAAATATATTCACAAGTTTCTGAAATATCAAAGGCAGAACATGTTTTAATTTAATGTTTTTAGAAAGACAAAGTTCAGCTTTCTAAACAGAATTACAAAACCACCACTAAACCTTTAAATGCCCTTATGCTTATAAATTCTTTCCAAAAAAATACACTTTAAAAAAAGTTTTTGGATAAGACCAAGCTGAGTGGTGCAGTTGATACACGGGAGGGAAGGGATGCCATCCAGAGGGACCTGGACATGGATGGGATGAATGGGCCTGTGTGCACCGCATGAAGTTCAACAAAGCCAAGTGCAAGGTCCTTCTCCCGTATCAGGGAGAGACTCCACCTGGAGTACTGTATCCAGCTCTGGGGTCCCCAGCACAAGAAAGACATGGACCTGTGGGAGCAGATTCAGAGGGGGCCTGCAAAAATGATCAGAGGGCTGGAACACGTCTCCTGTGAAGACAGGATGAGAGAGTTGGGGTTGTTTAGCCTGGAGAAGGTGAGGATAGGCAGCAGTATCTTAAACATGAAAACATAAACATGACAGTATTTCACATTTGCTGGAGAAGTACAAAAGGAAACAGTGGCCAAATAGCAAAACCTGCTTCAAACAAAATGCTCGGGCAGTTCACTGAGAAGGATGTTTCTGCTTTAGAGAGATCATTTTTACCTTTGTGTAAATCAACAGTAACCGGGAGTCATAAATGTTTCACAGTT